TATATATATATATATATATATATATATATATAAGACTGTGAATTAAAGTTTAAAGAATTGGGTGTGTATTTAGACTGAATAGCGTGTGATAGTTTTGCTGGGTCCTGTAACTGCTGTCACTGAGCATCAATCTGCTGCCCTCTCAAAGATAAAAAATGTTCATTATGGGATGCATAGTTTGTTAGTGATGCAAAGGTTTGAGCTTTGTTTGTGAAATATCCTTTTAATGATACTTACTTTGAGCCGGAAGTATTCCTTTTATTGCTCGTCGGAAGCCGAAAGTGAAAGGGTTGTAGATGACTCAGTCAGTCTGAGGAGTGGCTACACCACCGTTTATAGAGATCTAGGTGTTAGTTAGATTTCCTTTACAGCAGCCATGGAGCTTCTTGTTCTTCTGTCTCTTTGCTTGCTGACTTTTATTGGAAAAACGTTTGGTGATGGTAAGAAAATGTAATGTGTTTTATATTTGTTTTTTAAATTAGAAATATCAGATTTTTTTTTTTTTTTTTTTTTTTTGAAAACTAGGTCTTTCGGCTTTAAATAAGTAATCAGCTTAAACGATGTCATGTCTAGAGTTTCATGTGTGCAGCAGCGGGATGCGCGTGTTTACTACACTAATAGCGGAAGTAAGACGTCATTTTTGCTGCTTATGTTAGAAATGTTTGCGCACAACACCGAATTTAAGCCATTAAAGAATTGCTCCCTTCTGTCCTCCTATTTGTGTTTTTGGACCATGCTTGTAATTCACATGATGCCTTATATTCAGTTAGATTGTTGCATCATCTCTGCAGCTGATAATCTGCAGTGAGGATGTTCCTCTGCGTCTTTAAAGCCACATCTGCTTCTGATGGGAGCGGTAGTGATGCTCAGTGATTACATATTTTATGGCCAAAATATGACTTTTTTATGAGTTTAAATAAATAAGTCATTGTAGTATCACAGGTGTCCGCATTTAACTGCGATATTTTAACGCGTCTTAACAGAGGAAAACTTGTAGGATAAGCACAAATATTGTCTAATCTAACTTCAGTCTTCACATACAAGTGAATCTTGTCCCTATATTATTAAAAGAAGTCAAATATGATTTTAAATTGTAAACGAATATGAAGTAAACATAATTGCACACAGTCTTCTAAGGTGTGTGTCTTGCAGCAGGGCCAGACTGGAAGATATTTTTCAGGCCAGGAGTCAGTCCTGTAACCAGGCCACCCTTGTTACATCACTGACTGATTTCTTAGGTTGTAAAATAAAATAGGGCTGTGATGTATTTTGATATTTGAGGACCCAACTGAAAAAAATAAACAAGCTTTTATTAACCAAAAAGTACGTTTTCATTATATGTTTGAGTTCGCCTTCAGCTTTGCAACACATCCAAACCAAGTAGAGTAACAGACTGAGGGCCGGATCTATCAAAGGTTTGCGTGTATAAAAACGTGAGCTATTTCACTGCGCACGCTAAAAAATGTACAACCTGATCTATCAACAGCGTGCTAAAAGGATTTGGTCTTTAAAACGTGCTAAATAGCGCCTCTTATCCATTTAGTACTTTTTCTGCAATGAATATGCAATATGGGGCGTTTACACGCAAAAGTGCGTCTTGTGGGAGGAGAACATGTAAATATATTAGTTTAGCACTCGCTAAGTGATTTATTAACCCTGAAAGCAA